TGACGTATTACCGATGATGGTAACTATGTTACCGATATCGCGCGATTTGTTTGTTCACGACCGAGGTCAACCGTCACGCTTGCACTCGTCGCTCCCGCATTTGAGCGCGCGCTATTCTCGCGCTCTGATTGGTCAGTGTTTTTTTTATTAATAATTCAAAAACTAAGCTTTAACCAGCATTTTGGTAAAGGAGAAAGTTGTTCAGAATCACTACAACTACCACCCCCTAAAATTATGCCCACCAGTAGCCGAACACCCTGTATATCCTTTTTTGTTACATCAAATCTAACAATTCAAGATATAACCTCCATCATTGTAACAAGCTGTGGAGACGCAATGGGTCGAAGATTTACAACCTTCGAGAACTGCCAATGGAAAGTTCATATTCACCCATCGCGCAAACATTCTCCTCAATCTACAGGGTGTCCGCGCCAAAGTGTTACACCGTGATATCTCATGAACTACTGATGTTACGAAAAAGTGCTTATATGGAAACTGCAGGACAAAAGAGGCCCTATGTTTTGGCAGAAGCAAAATTTTTTTATTGTTATTAATGTAAAAGATATGATGGTGAAGTTTCGTTTTTTAAATGGAACTATATATTTTTTTTCCGATCAGGCGATATTGCTTTTGAAGACGAATTCATCAAGATTTTATGTACTTACCCGATTTTCATTAGTTTTCGAGATATAACGGTTACAAATTTAGTGATTTTCAGCAGTGACGTCTCGGTTTGACGAGTAAGTCATAAAAGCGGTCTTATTGTTACGGTAAGTGCCGCAAGTTTGACTCTGCCTGCCAAAACAAATAGGCGGGGTCTATGGTCGAAATGGCAGATCCGAAGTGTAAGAAATGTGAAAAGTATTGTCCATTACAGTCTAAGTTTTCCGTATCGAAGATGATATTAATAGTTTGGAAGGTTGGGGCATTTATTTAAATATTTCAGTAGAAGGTAGGTATAAAGACAATTTAACAAAAATTAATATACAAAAAATTTATTCTACGTGCTGGGTTAGGGAAGGCAATAAATTCCATTAAGGGAAAAGCAAATATTAGAATTCAGTCAAGGTATAACAAGTATCAAGTTAGTTTAGATTGCCTTCTGATAGATCAGATCACAACTAACATGCCAAACTTCTCCTTAACGCAAGAAACGATAGAAATTCCAAAACACATAGAGTTAGCTGATCCGAATTTCCATATTCCACAACCGATTGATATGCTCATCGGGGCCAGTTTGTTCTGGTCGCTTCTTTGTGTCGGTCAACATACATGTCGTTCAGGGATAGTATGCCAAAAAACTCAACTTGGTTGGATTATAGGTGGCACATTTAGCTGGGTCGATAGGGAATCGCAAGGAGCAAAGGCTTGCCACTTAATTACACAAGACGACCTTCAGTCGCAATTAGAAAGGTTTTGGAATATTGAAGAGATCGGGCCGGGTGAAACTAAATTTATAGACGACTGTGAATTACATTTCCAACAAACAACACAACAAGACACAGACGGATACATAGACGGACGTTACATAGTCAGTATTCCTTTCAAAGAAAATATCAATCAATTAGGCGATTCACGGCAACAAGCCGAGCGACGATTGTATGCTTTGGAACGGAAATTAGTTAGAAACCCTCAGTTAAAACAAAAGTACGTAGAATTCTTAAAGGAATATGAAACATTAGGTCACATGACACCCATAGTACAGTCTTCAGAAACAACACAGTTAGAATATTATCTTCCACACCACGCCGTAACTAAGATAGACAGCACAACAACGAAGGTTCGTGTTGTGTTCGATGGTTCGGTACGAAGGTTCGTGTTGTGTTCGATGGTTCGGCAAAATCATCATCTGGATTGTCATTAAATGATACACAATTAATAGGTCCCACAGTTCAAAACGATTTAGTGTCAATTTTAATTAGATTTAGGTACCATAAGTACGTTATTTCAGCTGACATTGAAAAGATGTACCGCCAGGTTTTAATTGATCCTTCTCAGAGGAAATTTCAAAAGATTTTGTGGCGATCAGATCCACAATCTCCAATCCAGGAATTCGAGTTAAATACGATAACATACGGTACCGCGTCTACTCCGTTTCTGGCCACGCGGGTTTTACGAGAAATAGGATTAAAATGTGCAGATAGTTTCCCAGAAATTAGTAGAATAATCATCAATGATTTTTATGTAGATGACCTGTTGACAGGTGCTCAGACATCAACCGAATTAAATAAATTAAAATCAGATATTACAAAAATACTGCTTCAATCCGGAATGCACCTTCGTAAATGGGCAACAAATTGCCCCGAGATCGAATCAGTAATACATAACAACCAAGAAATTGTAATTGAGAAGGACCCAAAAACGTTAGGTTTATTGTGGTCACCGAAAACTGACCAATTAAATTTTAGAATTAAATTTAACAATAGTAGCCGAATTACGAAGCGTTTGATCCTATCAGAAATCGCGCAACTCTTTGATCCGTTAGGTCTAATTAGGTCTGTTAGGTCCACTTATTGTAACAGCAAAATTAATTTTACAACGGCTATGGCAGATCCAGGCAGGGTGGGATGAGTCCATTTCTCAGGATCTTCGTACCCAATGGTTACAATATCGGGACGACACTGCACAAATTCAAACAATTAGAATTCCACGTTGCACTATTTCCAATAGATTAGATATAAACATAAAGATAGAGTTGTACGGGTTCTCAGACGCGTCGGAAAAGGCATATGGGGCGTGTGTCTACCTGCGTTCTCGGGATACGGCAGGTCAATGGACAACAGCTTTACTATGCGCGAAATCGCGAGTAGCACCTCTTAAATCAGTATCGTTACCGCGATTGGAACTCTGCGGTGCGTTATTGTTAGCGCAATTAGTTAAGAAAATTAGGATAGCATTATCATTAGCAGATTTAACTGAGCACTTGTGGACAGACTCTACTATAACACTCGCTTGGTTACGCAATACTAGATAGAAGACTTTCGTGGCCAACCGAGTCTCAGAGATTCAGTCAGTAACGTCAGTAGATAGTTGGAAACATGTGGCCTCCGGAGATAATCCCGCGGACATGATTTCACGAGGGGTTAGATTATCAGTACTCGCACAGTCAAAAATTTGGTGGTCAGGTCCTGCGTGGCTTTCAAAGGATGTAGAGTCGTGGCCCATTTCAACAGAAGTGCATGTAGCACCTATTTTAGAGGAGAGAATAATTAATATTGCCCTGGCTGTATTTACCAATGAGAAACTGAGCATTTTTGAAAGATTTTCCAATTATACGCGACTGGTTAGAGTTGTGAAGTTGGTTTTTTAATAAGTGCGTGAGTTGGTATGAGTAAGTTGGTAGGAGTGAGTAGGTTGGTATGAGTGAGGAGTTTGGGATGCGTGAGAAGATTGGTAGGACTGAAACAAAAGAAAAGGGGAAGTAATTAAAAATGAGAGTGGAGTGAGAGCGTCGGAATAATGGTTTTATGTATTTTTGCAATGAATTAAAATAGTTTAGCTCAAAGAAAGATAAATGTTGATTTTAACATCACCAATTCCCACAAGAGTCACAGCATATATTTTTAGATTCATTCGCAATTCTCAGCTAAAGTGTAGGAATAACCAAGCAATGGCTCTAAGATCGTGTTCAGAGCCGTTGACAACAACGGAATTAGATCAGGCACGTATACGCTTAGAGCGTCTTGCGCAACAGGAAGAGTTTCCGCATGAAATAGCCGCATTAGAATCGGGACAGCCAATTTCAAAATCGAGTTCATTGAGGACATTAAATGCATTTTTGGACAGTAAAGGAGTGATTAGGGTGGGCGGCAGGCTTGCAAACGCACCAATTCCTCACGATAAAAAATATCGCGTAATACTTCCGGCAAAGCACCCGTTTACGGAATTAGTTATTAGATACGAGTATATTCGCTTGTTACACGCAGGTAATCAAGCAGTAGTAGCATCATTGCGTACGCGGTACTGGCCTCTATCGTGTAGAAATAATGTGAGACGAATCATACGCAATTGCATAAGATGCGTTCGAGCCAACCCTGTTAGCGAAACTCACCAAATGGGTCAGCTACCTGCAGCTAGGGTTACCCCATCACGACCCTTTTTCATCTGCGGTGTAGATTATGCAGGTCCATTTTACACAAAGGAAAGAACGAGAAGTAAAGTTAGTGTAAAGGCATACTTATGCATTTTTGTATGTTTTGTTACAAAGGCGGTACACATGGAACTAGCGACAGATTTAAGCACAAATGCATTTATTCAATGTTTAAGAAGATTTATTGCGCGTCGAGGTAGGTGTCGTTGCATCGTGTCAGACAATGGTACAAATTTTGTCGGAGCGCGAAATGAGTTAGCCGAGTTAGGGGCATTAATAAAAGATAAGCGTCATAATAAGTTAATAAGTGATACACTAAATTTAGATGGTATTGAATGGAAGTTAATACCTCCACACGCACCACATTTTGGTGGCTTATGGGAGCGGGCAGTTAGGTCTGCAAAACATCATGTAAAATGCGTAATCGGGGACCAACGTCTTACATTCGAAGAGTTGTATACGTTGTTGACACAAGTAGAATCCTGCTTGAATTCCAGACCCCTTTCTCCCATGTCCTCAGATCCTACCGATTTCTGTCCGTTAACACCTGGACACTTCCTAATCGGTACTGTTCCAACGAGTTTACCAGATCGTAAATTGGAGGATGTCAAAACTAATAGATTGAATAGATTCCAGTTGCTACAACAAATGTTCCAACATTTTTGGCGACGGTGGCAAGCTGAATGCATCCATGAGATGCAACAACGATACAAGTGGCGCAGCATTACCAAACGGATAATCACAGGCGCACAGCATCACCAAACAGATAATCATAGGCGCACTGGTTATTATCAAAGAAGAAAATACACCACCACTTCATTGGAGTTTGGGACGAGTGGTGCAAGTGCACCCAGGTCAAGATGGCATCATAAGAGTTGCAACCGTGAGGACCGCTGCTGGAATCATCAAACGACCAGTCACAAAACTTTGTTTATTACCCATAGACCCGATAGCAGATTCCCCTACAAATCCTGTTATTTAAAGAGAAAAAAAAGAACATTCAGTTTTATAATTAAGTAAATATGTAAATAGTGTAAATATTGTAAATTAATAGTAGCCGTAGTCAATTTTATAGATCTCAATATTTTAGTTACTTCATTATAATTTTAGTATGTAATGAGCACATTCGCGCACTATTTAGTTCAGTATAATATTAGATCATATAGGTCCATAGTAAAGTTAGACATCGCGACAATATATTGTATTAGTTAAGATACATTGTTGAACATGTATATATGTTCAATGTGGACGGCATGTTAAGACATCAAGAGGACAACTTTATGATACGGCTAAATATTCGTAGAGTCATTTGTAACCGTTAGTTTTTTCCTCTTTATGAGTTTTAGCAGGCCGGCCTGCAGCCAGTATGCAGCACCTAAGGTCATTTTAAAAATTTAGCCATTTTTTAGCTTTAAACCGGGTATCATAAAGTCGTATTTCAAAGGGTTCCTTAGAATTTCAGAAATTAGTGTCCACAGGGATCTTGAGCTGACGGAATTTCCCCGATGTTGCCAAACATGCGTTGACGAGAGTGATCAGCCTATCACCCTCGCTTCAGGGATGTACTGCGATATGAGCGCATTGGAAGGGGATGACACGGTATTGATCATCCTAGTTTTAAGAAACTGCAAAACATAGAATTAAGGTCCACCCTCTTTTTAGAAGAAAGAGGTGGGGTGCGAAACCGAGTTGACGACGAAGCGGATGTTGTTAGAAGAAATTAGGTATTAACAGACTTGTATTAGCAACAGTTTAAGTTAGCGAACTTCTTGTATCAGATTAGGATTTTTCAACTTACATTATATCAGTTCAGTCAAGTACACACTTAGTTTTTATTCCCAAAACATTTGGGTGGTCCTTCGGAGTTAGACCGCACGAAGTGCAATACTCTAAACTCAGTTATTCAGACTCTGGGTTTAAACAATCTTATTTAATTGCTTGGTTGTAGTAATTATTATTACCATCCATTTTATAATAATTACAATTTATAATCCAGTTTATATATTTACCGTATTTTTGTGTCAAGTATGCGTGTCTTCTTAATTTCACATTATAATGAATAATATATCACCGTACTAGAACTTTCAAATTTGACATGGAACACATAATTCAAAAGAAATGTAGATTCATTAATTTCTGTTATGTCTATCTGACTTTATAATTTTCCACTAGTGACACTTGTTTGCTATTGAACACATCTGCTCTCTTCGGAGGAAGTAAACCGACTGAAGGCAATCGAACAATATCCTCCCTCGTAGACTTACTTCATAGAAATATAAAATATAAACATTATTCGAGAAAGTTTCTTCTCTTACGAGTTTTTGCACCCCATAATTTTTTTAATGACTCACCATACATTCAGGCTGTAGGTATCCATCGATACTCTCACACCCTTCTTAAGTATGAATAAGTAATTCTAAAATTGTAGAATCTGTCAATCATTTTGCTCTGCTAAGAAATTTCTTGCAACGTTTTATAAAAATATTCGTTGAAAATGTGGTGTTCTTGGAGAGTAAAAGAAAACAGAGGGTACATAAATAACTTGGAGTTCAGTTGCGTATGAGCCCCCAAATGCGATGGTTCAATTGACTGATTGCAATAAACTCTGTGTCTTTTTTTTGTCAGTGTTAGGACTTTGGCCATATGGAAGTAAAAGGCTCCGATTGTTTAAAAATATTTTTATCGGCGTTAACGTTTGGCTCTACATACTTGTTCAGGTATCGAGTATCAGATTTTTATAATTTATTAATTTACACGTCCATAAACTTTTTCTGCCGTAGTAGAGTAAGGTAAATGTATTGTTTTGCAACCAATTCTTTATTTTATTCTTTCCTGAATCTTAATTTAAAAAACCAGAAAACATCTTACACCATTGCAATTACAAATATTTTAACTGTATTTTTAACCGACTTCGAAATGCACTAAAAAGTATAAAATAATTTCTATTTCCTACTGAAGTAATTTCTATTTCATTCAATCATGCAATTACATAACAGATATGATTGAAACCTATTTACTTGTTAGGTAGTATATTAAATACATTTCAACCTTTTCGGAGGCGGTGCAAAATTAAAAATACCTCAGATTGTGGTATGGCGTATTGGAAATTAATAAATCCTGAGAAAGAATACGAACCATTATAGATATATCTGGTAATATACGTAAATGTAACGACTGCATCTTCATTTCGCAACGTTTCTGATATAAATGAAATTGAATCGATTTCGTTCGCGTGTGGAAGCCATGAATCTAAGGACCTATAAATGGAGCCCACGACGCGGGAATTACCAAATTTGCGGCAGATGGGCTCTATCTTTATAGTATATGCGGCGATCGAGTCTTTC